CAAGTAGCATGTGAAGGGCTATGTTTCTCTCTCTCTCTCTCTCTCTCTCTCTCTCTCTCTCTCTCTCTCTCTCTCTGTCATTGAAACAGCCGAATGAACAAATGCCATTCAGTGACTCAAACGTCCCAGTGCTACTTGTTGTAGATGACATACTAGGGTAGAGCCATCAATACACTTGCTCGTCTGTGCTCATCTTCTGCACAAGCTTGATGCACTCTGCATGTTCCCACAGTCCAATACTGTCACTAGGAAAGGTATTGTAGGGGATGAGAAAAGTACAAAAATAAATATTACAAAATATGGCAGTAAAAATGTACAAAATGTTGTCTAAAGTGACTGTACAACAGTGACACCAGCAGTAAAACAATAGGAGGCAATGTATCTTATGCCTTTCCTGAGCCTATTGAGTTTTAACAGACCTCCTAAAGCAGGGATGGACAAACTCTGTCCTGCAGGGCCACTGTCCTGTAGAATTTTGCTGCAATCCTGATAAAACTCACCTGCCTGTAGCCTTCCAGTAATTAAGAATGAATGTAGATAAGTCACATGAGAGGAGGCAATGCCTTCTTTGCACTATGACTGGCCTGTTAACCTGTTCACACATTAATTCCTGTTTTTTTTCTCTCTCTCTGTGTGTGTGTGTGTGTGTGTGTGTGTGTGTGTGTGTGTGTGTGACATGTCCCCCATGTCCCCACTTTTCGGGTAATAATAGTTACTAATTAAAAAGTGAACAACTCAACTATTTAGACGTCACATTCAAACTTTAAATTGCCTAAACATGATCTATGTAAAATTAAAGGTGCATCTCCATGTCTGTGATTACCGAACTCTGATAACTAATGATCCAAAAATAAGGTAAATAAGAAAATCTTTCATATACCTTACATCAGGTAACAAATAATACAGTGCCTTGTGAAAGTATTCATACCCCTTCGTTTATTTCATGTTTTGTTATGTTGCAGCCTTATGTTAAACTATTTTAAATAATTCTTTTCCCACAACAATCTACACTCCATACACCATAATGACAAAGCAATAACAGAACTGTCATAACTTCGTAAATGTATTAGAAATAAAAAACTGAAATAAGTACATTGCATAAGTATTCTTTACTTTAACCTTAACTCAGTACTTAGCTGAAGCACCTTTACAGCCTCAAGTCTTTTTGGGTATGATGCGACAAGCTTTGCACATCTGCATTTGGCAATTATCTGCCATTCTTCTCCTCACCTCTTTACCTCTCAAGCTCTGTCAGGTTGGATGGGGGCAGACGCATATTTTCAGGTTTCACCAGAAAGATTTGATTGGGTTCAAGCCCAGGCTGTGGCTGGGCCACTCAAGAACATTCACAGAGTTGTCTATAAGCCACTCTTGCTGTGTGCTTAGGGTCATTGTCCTGTTGGAAGGTGAAACTTCTGCCCAGTCTGAGGTTCTGAATGCTCTTGACTAGGTTTCCATTAAGGCTGGCTGGCAAGAAGTATAATAGCTACTTAAAGGGGTCATATGATGCGATTTAAATTTTTCCTTTCTCTTTGGAATGTTACAAGTTCTTGGTGCATAAAGAATATCTGTAAAGTTGCAAAGACTAAAGTCTCAAACCCAAAGAGATATTATTTATAAAAGTTAAGAGTCAACCACACCTACCTAAAACGGCTTGTTCTAACACGCCCCCACATGTCTACGTCACTGTGTGGGAAGATTTGCATAACGCCGCCCAAATGTTCACACAAAGAAAGAAGGCGTAACTTTTATTCTCGCTGTTGCCGCCACTGCCATGTCGTGGAGTCACTGTGTGTTCCATTGTGAAAGCAAAACTACTTTGTTTGTTTGGACACAACTAGAAATCAGTGGTTAAGTTGTATTTACAACACTGTTCCAGAACAGTTCAACCCAAATATTCAGATGTGTGCTGCGCATTTTATGGAGGAAGGATGAGGACTGTTTCCTGAACCAGTAGCTTTACTACTCTATAAAGTGGGGCAGTTCCAACTTTGTTAGGACAGTCTGGCGCTTCTGACTCACAGCCTGTAAGTACGTTTTTTATATTGAAATAATTTGCCAATGATGATTCAAATGCGAGTTTTGAGCAGTGTAGACTAGGCTTGTTGTTTGTTGTTTCTACGATCAAAAATGCAAACATGGTTTTATGTTTACACGGCACGATACGCAACGCAATGCGTTAAAAGACAGTATAAGTCATTATAATCAGTAATTATGTCCCCACTGGATGCAACAAATGCCTCGTTTGTAATGGGTTTTATTGGTTTTGTCTCGTCTAGTGATGTCCGGATCGCGAACTAATCGTTCTATTTAACCGGATCTTCTTAGTGAACCGGTCGAACCAGTTCACCAAATCGAACTGAATCATTTGAAACGGTTCGCGTCTCCAGTACGCACTAATCCACAAATTACTTAAGTTATTCGGTTTATAAACGTGCCTGACACTCCCTCTGACGCAAAATAAACCAATATCCCAAGTTATTCAGTTACTCCTAACAGTAAATTGACTGAACTGCTAAAAGAGAACCGATGATGGGATGTGCACGAGCAGAGCAGCTGGACTGAGTCTCGTCCTGCTGGGAGACGGCATCACAATATGTTAAGGGGCGTAACATTTCCGTCACACGCTTGAGGCATTCAGCCAATCAAAACGCACTGGATAGCTGGCCAATCAGAACACACCTCGCTTTTTTAGAACGATGAGCTTTGTAAAAATCGACGCGTTTCAGAAAGGCGGGGCATAGAAGAGAAACAATAATGTGCATTATATGGAAAATAATGTGTTTTTTTAACCTTAAACCATATAAACACATTGCATTACACCAAATACACAACATAATGTTTGTTTTAGCAACGTCATAAAACCTTTAAATATTTTACGGATATTAAATAAAACCGTTTTAGCAATATTTCTGCAAAAGTTTAATTGACTATTGCATTTTACTATAATTTACCTCCATGGGTACTTCTTGTTTCTTAAATTGTACATCCTTTTTTTTCCTTTTCTTGCTTAATTTCTTTGCATCTTACCTCTTCCCTCCACATACTGTGTGTGAGAGAAAGATACAATGAAATGGTACAAGGACATAGGAATCAAAGATAAACATCTGTAAATTGGAATATTTTTTGATCACTCAAGCATCACTTCAAAGTCTCTCCTTTCTATGAGGACATAGGCATGTTTTGGCCGCAAGTCACCTCAGCAGCTTCCAGTTCTGGTCCTTCTACTTCTGGGTACGAGGCCTCAGTGATGTGTGTTGAGGGAGAGAAAGGGGATGTCACAAGACTAGTTTTGCCAGGTGAATCTCTGCAAACCTCTCATTCCTCCCACAGTACGTCTTCCAGTAGAGTTACCAGATGAGTTTGAGAAATCATCTGAGCGCGAGTTTGATTTTTAATTTGGGGCTCGTGAGGACAGTGAGCTGTCAATCGCAGCATCAGCGAGTAAGTTGGAGTCATTAGAAGCAGATGACTCAGCTAGAGCAGAATCCCCAGGTACTTTGTATCAGTCTGAGGCTGACGCTGAGATGGCGGCCATGCTTAGTCAGCTGAGAGTATCAGGCTTGTGTGGACTCCCCCACCCTGCCCTGAGCACACTCGGCTGAATGATTGGTTCTTGGGGTCCGAGCGTGATACTTAGCCATGCTCCCCTGCAGTTCCTTTCTTCCCTGAAGTTCATGAGGAGCTGACAAAATTGTGGAAGGAAGCTTATCTGCCAGAACACAGTGCACCAGCTCCTTCATTCTCACCACCCTTGATGGTGGTCCAGTGAGGGGGTACACGGAGGTTCCCAGATGGAGAGAGTGATTGCGGTTAATCTTTGCCCATAAAACTGCCGTCACCTGACGGGACCACATGAGACATCCATCCAGGGCATATAAGTTCACCTCGTCCCTCGTGGCAAGAGCTTACGCTGCCTCTGGACAAGCTGCGTTCACCCTGCACGCCATGGCCTACCTGCAGATCTACCAGGCCAAGGTGTTGAAAGATCTGCATGAGGGTGGTCCCAACCAAAGAGATGATCCAGGAGCTACACTCGGTGACTGACTATGCTCTTCGGGCTATGAAAGTCATGGTGTACGCTCTGTGGAGGGCGATGTCCACATTAGTGGTCCAGGAGCGCCACCTGTGACTCAACCAGACGGGCATGAAAATGCTGGACAGTGGCCAATTGCTGTCAGATACAGTGTACTAAAAACAGCCACAGATTAATTGTACTACCTACAGACACACCTCAAGAGGTGCATGTTTTGAGTGATATTGAGCATGTTTCTTTAGCTGCAGTGGAGCACAATCTCACACTTTGCTTATATAGGTACATATCAAAATAACAAATTCATAATCTTTTCCACAGTTCATTTGTAAACAAACAAAGTCTGCATATGGAGAGAATGAAGTGTATTAGTAGTCAACATTGAAATAGGAATGTGATATAATGATGTGAATTGTTTGAACTGTTTGCTAAATGCTGAACACACATTTTTGGCAGTGGTCTAGTGTCCTTGAGTTATTCAGCCTGAGGGTGGTCCTCTAATGTTTATTGACAGGCTTTAAGTACCTACACACATTAAATGTTATCTTAGAATGTGTACCATAATTTCAGATGCAAGTATTTATTGCATCCAAATGTTGATTTAGAATGTTACAAGTTGTGAAGGAATTCAGGAGAAGAAAATATTTGATTCTCAGAACAAACATAAAACAAATAAAACAGGCTGTTCACATGAGCACATTTAAACTAAAATATGTATACTTTCACTAATTTGGTGTACTACTTCACTTTAATTTCTTGAAAAACGCTATAGAATCTAAACAAATGGAAGTGTGCATGAAATGAGGATGTGTCACCAAACATTAGAATTATTGTGAGACAGAGAACACTTAAACTGTAAACATCCAATGTACACTTCAAGTGTCTCTCAGTCTTTAATAGTCCATTATTTATATTACTCATTCTTAAGGTGAGAGACTTGAATGAACCCTCACCATGATTATTAAACTTTTTAACCTGATCTTTTTTCAACATATCAACAGAACGTTTCAGGATCTTGCTAGACAGATGGACTATTCCTACGGCACTGTTAGGGACTCAGCAGTGTACGATTACTTCAGAGCCAAAGGTACAAACCCGCTGGAGCAGGACAGCACGTATGCAGAGCTGTGGAGGACAATCAGCAAAAACAATGGACAGGAATTCTCCGTTTCTAGCCCTTCTGAAGGCATACGCAAGGTATGATCATTGCTCACCTATATGCTATATGATTTCAGAGATTTATGAAAACAGAAAGACATTGTGAGAACTGTGTTTTTGGCATAATCTTTTGGGATAATCCTTCAATCTTTACTAATCTCTTATTTGCATCCGAATTTAGTCTTTTACAATTGTTGTAATTGTTGGGGCAACCCCCTGAAATTCAGAGTCAGAAAAGTATGTATTTAGCTCAGGAGAGCAGTCATTGAAAAGTTTTGGCAAGCCAGTTGCTATAATCAAATATTCAACATACAACAGGTGAATGTGACATAGCTTTTCCTCTACTTTCTTACTTCTAAGTGACGTGACTTCTCAGTGACGATGGTGATGGCCAGAGGAAATGCTAAATTAATTCTAGAATATTCTGGGCTCTGCACATTGAGTCACCAGAGAATGAACTGATCCAAAAGCATTAAACAAATGAGCTTGTTTTAGAAGACAGGTGGCATGTCTGTAGATGTGTACATTTTAGCATCTTGTCAGCCTGCATATGATTGATGCACATGGTAAAGAGGGGATGTATAGGATGCCTTACAAACAAAAATGAAAAAAGGTATATTTAATTTAACTTATGGACCTAAAAGTTAATTTTATTAAGTAAAGTTCAAGTATATTTTGGGTAACACTTTATTTTAAGGTGTCCTTGTTGCACACGTTACATGTACTTACTATTATAACACTTAATTATGTATAATTGCATGCAAGTAACCCTAAACCAAACCCTAATCCTAATGTAGTTAATTAATATTGCTCAGTACTTAAATGTATAATTGCACTGTAACAAGGGCACCTTAAAATAAAGTGTAACCATATTTTGTAAGTGTACTCTGTGTAGTAGTAAGCATATTAATTCGAATGTACTAGTAGTATACTTGTAAATGCACTATTTAATTACTTCTTGTTATTAAATCGAGCACTTTTTAGATTATTAAAGTATACATTTAAGTGTACTTTCTGTTAAAGTTGTAAATTATTTATTTTGAGTACACTAGTTGGTAACATTTTTATGGTGTCTGTTACATATGTTACACATACTTACTATAGTAATAATAATAAAGGTGACACTTTAGATTAGATTAGATACATATTCACTATAGCTCTCCCTTATTAAACTCCTAATTTTCTGCTTATTGATAGTAAGGTAGTTTTTGTTGTAATAGTTATTATTTTTAGATATTGGGTAGAGTTGAGGGATCTAGAATCTAGAGACCTGTCACAATGGGCATGCAGAATAAGGCATTAATCTTTGCTTTATAAGTACTAATAAACAGCCAATATGCAGTAATATGCATGCTAATAAGCAACTAATTAATAGTGAATAGTATTCAGACTTTTAGTATAAAGTGATATTGTTACTTCATAATTACACAAAGAAGTACTGAGTAATATTAATTAATTATGTACTTACTAGGCTTAGAGTTACAGTAGTTACTTGTAATTATGCATAGTTATTACTATAATAAGTACATATGTAACAGTCTCCTTAAAATAAAGTGTTTAAGACTGATTAAAAAGTAGAGTATGTCCATCCATCATCCATTCTCCAAACCTCTTGTCTGAAGCATATCTGAAGGACTGAAGCATATCTCAGAATGTTAGGAAACTCCCTCCCCCATGTGAAAAGGGTTGCACTGCAGCAACCATCAGGTGGGAAGCCTGACACACTCATCTCTCTAAAAACCAGCTACTGTGTTGTACCCTATGGTGCTCTAGAGTGGCCCAACCAGTCATGGTTCCCGGAAATTGGGAAGAATTTGTGAGTTCTACCATAGATGATACGGTGGAACTCATAAATTGTCTCACCATAGATGAGACGATCTGAAATCCTAACAACTGGAGCTATGGAACCTGCATGTTTGGTAGTTCAGCAAAGCCTGCATGCTTGCTGTCAAAATCAGTAAAAGATTTGAATTTTACAAGCAGTGCTGAAAGGGTATGAATAGGGGTATTTACCTGATGTTCTGAAAATGGAATGTGAGTGTCAATTGGAGCTCTAAGTCAATGTAGCTGCATTTCACCAAATCATGCCTTTGTAGCTGGCTCGTCTGTGGGCAGGCATGACTTAATTATAGAAATTACTAACGCCCAGTTGCTCCTGTCTGGAGTTCCGATCAGATGCTTTCAGAGCTAGTTATGTTCCAAAGGTGCTATTCATGCTCTTTAGTGCTCAGGCTAGTGTGCAAGCAATCTTTCCAGAAATCTTGCTTGTTTGTAGGTGACCAAATACTTATTTTACCGAGGAATTTACCAATTAATTCTTTAAAAATCCTACAATGTGATTTTCTGGATTTTTTTTTCTCATTTTGTCTCTCATAGTTGAGGTATACCTATGATGAAAATTACAGGCCTCTCTCATCTTTTTAAGTGGGAGAACTTGCACAATTGGTGGCTGACTAAATTCTTTTTTGCCCCACTGTATAATGTCCGGTGCAGGCATTACATATAAAAGTGAAGCGCACCCACAGGTTCAGACTGTCAGAGAGCTTTTTTATCTTTTTTTTCAGGATGTGCAAAGGGTATATCCCCACATATTTCCTGCGCCCATGAATCGCATGGTTTATTGTGCTCTTTTAGAGTGAAATTCCACCCATTAAGGGGGGTGGCCTCCCTTGGGCATAGGCAATGGTGTCTTCAGGACATGATGATGGGCTAATCCTGGTCCTTACTTGTTATTAGTTAATTTATTTGCTCCGTCTGGCCCTTATTTTCTTCTTTGTTTCTACCTGTGCATTTCTAACCCTCTGTTTCAGTTGTGTATTGTCCGTTCTCTTCTTTATTATGGTTTGCAGCATCTCAGTATTGTTTTTCTTTCCTGTTCTCCTACGTGTTTTGTATTTGAATTTTGTTTCAAAAATTTACTGCTGCGATTATATCCTACCTCAAATCCTCATTGTTCCTGAAACCAGCTGTGACATCTACACCATTTATTAACCATTTATTTACCATTTACCGGTTTGTACAAGGTCAGTGTGATTTGCCATAAAATTTAGCCTACTGTTTTCTAAACTGCATGATGTACTTAATGGGGAAACATTTTTATTAAAAGCACAATAACTCGTGAAAAATAATTAAATTCGGTAGTCATATTTTCAGATATAGCCATTCACTGAGACTTTTTTATCTTTTTTTTCAGGATGTGCAAAGGGTATATCCCCACATATTTCCTGCGCCCATGAATCGCATGGTTTATTGTGCTCTTTTAGAGTGAAATTCCACCCATTAAGGGGGGTGGCCTCCCTTGGGCATAGGCAATGGTGTCTTCAGGACATGATGATGGGCTAATCCTGGTCCTTACTTGTTATTAGTTAATTTATTTGCTCCGTCTGGCCCTTATTTTCTTCTTTGTTTCTACCTGTGCATTTCTAACCCTCTGTTTCAGTTGTGTATTGTCCGTTCTCTTCTTTATTATGGTTTGCAGCATCTCAGTATTGTTTTTCTTTCCTGTTCTCCTACGTGTTTTGTATTTGAATTTTGTTTCAAAAATGTACTGCTGCGATTATATCCTACCTCAAATCCTCATTGTTCCTGAAACCAGCTGTGACATCTACACCATTTATTAACCATTTATTTACCATTTACCGGTTTGTACAAGGTCAGTGTGATTTGCCATAAAATTTAGCCTACTGTTTTCTAAACTCCATGATGTACTTAATGGGGAAAAAAATTTATTAAAAGCACAATAACTCATGAAAAATAATTAAATTCGGTAGTCATATTTTCAGATATAGCCATTCACTGAGAAAAAAAAGACTTTTAAGAGCAAGCATAAGCCTCTGCCAGTAGTTTGCTTCAGAATTAAGCAGGACTAACTGACTATTGGATTTTGATAAATTCACAGTATGCTCTTGAGTAACTACTGCACCAATGGATGGTAGGTCTGATTGCTAGGTCCGTGATTCCCAATGATTTTTTTTTTCACATATCTCAGTATACAGAAACTAAAACCAAGTAAATGCTATTATAGGCAATTATTTTGTAATGCAATTATAAAACACTTAAACAATAATAACTTTAGAGGATAAATAATGATACATTTTATTGCTACCAGTCACAACGGTTATAAAGTTTTGATAATCATTCTAATTCTATGAGAACTGGAATGTCCACACCACAGCTATAGCGATAATGACAAAAAGGAATTATATCATTAGAATCTTTTTTTTTTTTTTGAAGGACAGAAATATTCACAGATAATCAGAACCCACTCTGCAATCTAGCTTGAGCATTTAAAGTGGCGGACTAGATAGCTACAACCCACATTTATAATAAACAATTAACACTAATATATTTATTGTTTATGGTGTGAACTGGCCTTTATACTGCAATCCCAACACACATTAAAAGATAATTATTCAAGCGTGTTGGTCAGAAAACTCTCTTAAATTGAATCATAAGATGTATTTTTTTTTTTCAGGCCAAAAAAGGACCTTATGCATTTTTGTGGGACATGGCCGTGGTGGAGTATGCAGCACTGACGGATGACGACTGCACCATCACTGTAGCTGGCAACAGCATGAGCAGCAAAGGATACGGCATCGCCATGCAGCATGGGAGTCCTTACCGAGACCTCATCTCCCAAAAGTGTGTATTGCTTGTCTCCCAGCTAAAACATATGTTTCACCTCTTTAAAAATAACATACAACTAGTGTAAGGAGTATCTGTTGTTCAGGCAAAAGCTTGTCATAATTATTTTAAGCTGACAGTGCTTTGGGGAATTTAAGGAGCTGTATGGTGAAGAGTTGTACTCTAACTACTGCAAATGTGTCCCATGTGTCATACAAAAAGTGAATGAGGCAAAATATTTCACTGAATTTCACTTGTTTCTTATATAATGATATATATTCTGTTGTTTGGTGTGTGTTTTCAAGAGATACCTGTAATAATAACATGCAAATCCATTTCAAGATTCTGCAGACATGTAGAAAAAAACAAAGTTTTTCATTAACCTGCTCCAGTTACCACATAAATGATTCACAATGTCACAGGAACTTTGAATCTCCCACAGTTCACAGCTATTCTTTATTACCCACAAAGCCTTGATTTGACATTACCAGTTGTTTCTTAGGTTTAGTTTTACATGCATTACAAATTGATCCCTTTGTGAATGTAACAGATGCCAGCAGGCTGTTTAAAGCTCTACATAATCACTTGTAACCAATTAAGATTGTTGAATTGCATTGCTTTTGGATTTCGTTAAGCTGGTTAATGATCTTTGGTTGCCTTCTCACTCACTCTGTATTGATCTATCTAGAATATATTAGCATGACCCAACCACCAGCAATACCCAGCATCAAATGTTTTGCCTTGTGTTTGTACATTTATGTTGTAGTTATTGTCTAGTGTTACAGAACAGCTGACCATGAAACACCCCCAATACCCCTAAATAGGGCACTATTTGAGGGGAAAGCCATTTGTAGTGGTGTCTGAAACCATAGTGTATCCACTCAGTATCCAAATTCTCTCACTCGTTTTTATTCACTCCTTCAGCTGGACTATATTAGTGGACTAATATAGGGAATAGTGACTAAGGTTATAGAGGGTGATTTTGAACACAGGACAGGGCTTAAATACACAAGATAAACGAGGAGACATAGGACACCTGAGGACACAATCAAGGGTAACGACTGACCTGTTGGCTCATGGGGACCAAGATTCAATTCCTGCTGCCTTATAGATATCATTTAATATTAAACAATACTTTATTTATTTATTTATTTTATTTTTTTATTATTATTTTAGCTCAAGGTAAACTAACAATATTGTGAAATTAGGCCGTGATCCCACTCCTCCTTACTCTCCTCTACTTTTCTATCTACACTCTGTCATCTTAGAAAAGAATGGCAAAAATTAAAAAAAATAAAAAAAAATGCCTTGGGCAAATAGGAAAATGCATTCTAAGGCAGCTTGGAGGGAGCTTGCAGGTTATTACACAATGAACAGTAATGTCATCTCCTCTTAAGTGAAGAATTCATCTTACTATTTTGCTTTGTGGCCCATCATTATCTGTTCTCTCTACCACTGTCGTTCTTTTGACAGCCCCCTTGCATGTTTCTGTATGTGACATTTTACATTGAAGAGACTGAAACACCTATATTACTTGTGGAGGAGCCCATCAATGACAACAACACATTCAAAAAAATACACACAGGTATATATATATATATATATATATATATATATATATTCTTAAATGTCCTTACTTTCCTCTTTTGTTTGTACCAGCAACGGTATAAAATGTATAAAACATTTAACCAAGTAACATTTATGCTTAAGGTTAGCTACTGTAAGTGATTTCTGTGCATCTAGTGGCACCAAACAGAACTGCAAAAATAACTTGATTTTCTAAAGAATAAGTATGTAGTGTTTGCCTGTGCAAAATTCTGGGTGTTTACTGGGGTATTGCCCTGCTGCGAGTTAGTCTAATCTTATGGCAATTTAATGTGGTATACATTTTACTTTTTGGTGGCTAATTTGTATGATTTTATTTGTACATTTTCATATGATCGCATATGCCCAAGTGATGGTTATATATAGGGATGGTGTTAGGGGTAAACCTTCCTGCTTGCTTTTTTCAAAAAATTCACCTTGGACAAATTCATATGAACTCATCACGTTGTAAAATAGTTCCCTTTCATTCTGTCACTTTCAACGTCATGTAGGTGACAGACTAATTGAGAGCCCCAATTCGTCAGTCACCAGTACATTTTCATATGATCGCATATGCCCAAGTGATGGTTATATATAGGGATGGTGTTAGGGGTAAACCTTCCTGCTTGCTTTTTTCAAAAAAATTCACCTTGGACAAATTCATATGAACTCATCACGTTGTAAAATAGTTCCCTTTCATTCTGTCACTTTCGACGTCATGTAGGTGACAGACTAATTGAGAGCCCCAATTCGTCAGTCACCAACGTGACGTCTCCATTCTCTCCTTCAGGGAATGGGGGTAACATACGTAATCGAGACATTCCCTTTCAGTCGGTCACTTTCAACGTCATGTCGGTGACCGAAGAATTTAGATCCCCAATTTGTCAGTCACCGACGTGATGTCTCCATTCCCTCCTTCAGGGAATGAGGGTTACATATGTAACTGACACAATGCATTTTTTCTGTAAGATTGTGTTGGTTGTTCTGGGTAAATGCTTGCTTTGGGAAACTAATAATAATTAAAAACATCTACTAAAAAAATTACAAACAGTTTCACAAACACTCCCATTAGTCAACAAGCAAACACCCCTGCCCAAACACACACACACACACACATACAAGTTTGCTGATTGGTTAACATGCACAGGCTGCATTTAAAAAAAAAAGGAAAGGAAGCAACCATATGTAAAACTTCACATAAAATAATTACATTCCATGTCATCCTTCACAGGATTCTGGAGTTGCAGGAGAAAGGAGACCTGGATGTCTTGAAACAGAAGTGGTGGCCTCGGACTGGCCGCTGTGACCTAAACAGCCACAGTAATGCCCAACCCGATGGTCGGTCGCTCAAGCTGCATAGCTTCGCCGGCGTTTTCTGCATCCTAGCAGCAGGGTCTTTGGTAACCTTGCAATGGTCATCTCTTTAATTAATTTTTTCTTCCATTTAATTTTTTTAACAACAGTTTATACCCATAATTGTGCCTTCATGATGCAATAAAGTGTCTAACTTTGGTGTTCTCTTCAAATCAGCTACTTCTAAATATCTGAATAATTGCTTCACTTTATAACCTCTTTTATAAACCTTTCTAAATCCTCATCCACTGCCAATGAAACTGTATGTAATAGACTGGACCAGGGTTGATGTGGATCCGTAAACTAAAGTGTGCGCAAATTGGGTGCTTGCATGATTCTGTCTGCTCAGATATTCTTAAAAAAGAGCCACCCCAAAAACATAACTCGAACCCAAACAGTCAATAATCCCTAGTAATTTACTGTGTGACATCCTGTTGCAATTATATGTCAATGTGGACAAGTTTTATGGATTTAATTATTGGATTTATTTATCTCTATATTTTCTATTTTACATTTATTCTTCATTTGTTTATGATCTCATGCAGGTTAATAAGGATTACAGACTGGCAAGGGTTTCTGGTCCATTGACATATAATGATATTGCTACTGCTTCATCGGAGGGGAGCAAGGACATTTGGACAGACAGAGAAAAAGACTGGGATGAAGCAGAAGCTATTGACACAGGTCAGAATAGAATTGTAGGCCTCTTTTTTGATTGGCTGGGAATTAACCGGACCAGATGTAGAAGCCATCTAACATTAAAGATTTCTTTTATTTTGTGATTTAGTTGCCTCATTTAGTAGATTCATCTTCCAAATTGTGTTGGGTTTAGAATGACGCCTCTGCTTTTCCTGCATTTTTTATTTTAAATTTTTTTAAAAACCACATTAATGATGATAAATTATTTTCCAGTTCAATCCAAATCAGTGTTAAGCACACTTCTGCTGTTTAATTGGTGGCTTTTATTTTTTGAAACATTAAGCTATTGCAACATGATTATGAACATATTGCAATAAGAGTTCCACTATAAAAAAAAAGGAAAGGAAGCAACCATATGTAAAACTTCACATAAAATAATTACATTCCATGTCATCCTTCACAGGATTCTGGAGTTGCAGGAGAAAGGAGACCTGGATGTCTTGAAACAGAAGTGGTGGCCTCGGACTGGCCGCTGTGACCTCAACAGCCACAGTAATGCCCAACCCGATGGTCGGTCGCTCAAGCTGCATAGCTTCGCCGGCGTTTTCTGCATCCTAGCAGCAGGGCTCCTGTTGGCCTGTCTGGTGGCCGCCCTGGAAATTTGGTGGAACAGCAATCGCTGCCGGCAAGAGCAGCCCAAAGAGGTGACCGAGCTCAGGGCGCGGAAGACAGAGCAGGGAGAGGACACTGCCACACTCTACTTTAAGGATCCCGCAGCAGACGCGAGCCCCGATTTAGTCGAGCTCCAGTATACACAGTTATAGGTGTGCCCTGATGAAATCAAAATTGGTCCCCCGCCTACTTAACATAATGACAGATTTTATGTGTGCTTGGGGTGTGCACAATGCCCTTGATGAAGCAGGCTTTACAATTTAGAATGCCACATTTACTAATACGCTGTGATTGTAGACCATTTTAGAACACAACAGCTCTGCTTCAGAACCTAGTGAGTTGCTGTGTACTGTCTACAACAGGCAACTACCTTCCAATGTAGAATTCTAACTAAAATGGAACCTCACTACATAGACAGCAGCATTTATAGTTCTGCTTGGTGAGCTCAATTCCAATATTGCAATTAGCATATTGGTAAGTTAAAATGTGATACTCCAAAAATACATAGTACAGTGCAAGTTATTTTATTGACAACATTCCGTATTAAATGTATATTCAGCACTATCTTGGATCTTTTTTCTTTCTTTTTTTCATTGAGCTCATTGCACTGCATTCAGAAATGTCTTCTCTCTAAAAAAACAAATGCAATAATGCTTTCAATTTTGACCAAAATAAGGTATCTAATCTTACTTCTGGATGAGCTTTTACATTGTGAATGCCTATGATGCCTTGAAGTGTGTCTAGGCTGACATTTAGAACAGAGTTACTGTATTCCACCAATTACATTTTTCTTTGAATCCAAAGTAAGAACAATATACACTTTTTCATTCCAAAGTTCTCTATGGAGGCTAAATCATATTACTCTTTTTTTATATTATCCAAAAGATTATCAGACATTTTCAGCTGAAACAATACCTCAAATACAAAATTGTTTCAGAGCAACTTGTACCTTGGCAGTGGCAAAATATTACAAATATTTTTCCAATATTCTATACCAGAAATGTCCTTAGATCTTTGGTAACCTTGCAATGGTCATCTCTTTAATTAATTTTTTCTTCCATTTAATTTTTTTAACAACAGTTTATACCCATAATTGTGCCTTCATGATGCAATAAAGTGTCTAACTTTGGTGTTCTCTTCAAATCAGCTACTTCTAAATATCTGAATAATTGCTTCACTTTATAACCTCTTTTATAAACCTTTCTAAATCCTCATCCACTGCCAATGAAACTGTATGTAATAGACTGGACCAGGGTTGATGTGGATCCGTAAACTAAAGTGTGCGCAAATTGGGTGCTTGCATGATTCTGTCTGCTCAGATATTCTTAAAAAAGAGCCACCCCAAAAACATAACTCGAACCCAAACAGTCAATAATCCCTAGTAATTTACTGTGTGACATCCTGTTGCAATTATATGTCAATGTGGACAAGTTTTATGGATTTAATTATTGGATTTATTTATCTCTATATTTTCTATTTTACATTTATTCTTCATTTGTTTATGATCTCATGCAGGTTAATAAGGATTACAGACTGGCAAGGGTTTCTGGTCCATTGACATATAATGATATTGCTACTGCTTCATCGGAGGGGAGCAAGGACATTTGGACAGACAGAGAAAAAGACTGGGATGAAGCAGAAGCTATTGACACAGGTCAGAATAGAATTGTAGGCCTCTTTTTTGATTGGCTGGGAAAACCAGATGCCAGATGTAGAAGCCATCTAACATTAAAGATTTCTTTTATTTTGTGATTTAGTTGCCTCATTTAGTAGATTCATCTTCCAAATTGTGTTGGGTTTAGAATGACGCCTCTGCTTTTCCTGCATTTTTTATTTTTAATTTTTTTAAAAACCACATTAATGATGATAAATTACTTTCCAGTTCAATCCAAATCAGTGTTAAGTACACTTCTGCTGTTTAATTGGTGGCTTTTATTTTTTGAAACATTAAGCTATTGCAACATGATTATGAACATATTGCAATAAGAGTTCCACTACTTGTGGCAGTGACAAAAACACACACAAAAAAATACACACAGATATATATATATATATATATATATATATATATATTCTTAAATGTCCTTACTTTCCTCTTTTGTTTGTACCAGCAACGGTATAAAATGTATAAAACATTTAACCAAGTAACATTTATGCTTAAGGTTAGCTACTGTAAGTGATTTCTGTGCATCTAGTGGCACCAAACAGAACTGCAAAAATAACTTGATTTTCTAAAGAATAAGTATGTAGTGTTTGCCTGTGCAAAATTCTGGGTGTTTACTGGGGTATTGCCCTGCTGCGAGTTAGTCTAATCTTATGGCAATTTAATGTGGTATACATTTTACTTTTTGGTGGCTAATTTGTATGATTTTATTTGTACATTTTCATATGATCGCATATGCCCAAGTGATGGTTATATATAGGGATGGTGTTAGGGGTAAACCTTCCTGCTTGCTTTTTTCAAAAAAATTCACCTTGGACAAATTCATATGAACTCATCACGTTGTAAAATAGTTCCCTTTCATTCTGTCACTTTCGACGTCATGTAGGTGACAGACTAATTGAGAGCCCCAATTCGTCAGTCACCAACGTGACGTCTCCATTCTCTCCTTCAGGGAATGGGGGTAACATACGTAATCGAGACATTCCCTTTCAGTCGGTCACTTTCAACGTCATGTCGGTGACCGAAGAATTTAGATCCCCAATTTGTCAGTCACCGACGTGATGTCTCCATTCCCTCCTTCAGGGAATGAGGGTTACATATGTAACTGACACAATGCATTTTTTCTGTAAGATTGTGTTGGTTGTTCTGGGTAAATGCTTGCTTTGGGAAACTAATAATAATTAAAAACATCTACTAAAAAAATTACAAACAGTTTCACAAACACTCCCATTAGTCAACAAGCAAACACCCCTGCCCAAACACACACACACACACACATACAAGTTTGCTGATTGGTTAACATGCACAGGCTGCATTTAAAAAAAAAGGAAAGGAAGCAACCATATGTAAAACTTCACATAAAATAATTACATTCCATGTCATCCTTCACAGGATTCTGGAGTTGCAGGAGAAAGGAGACCTGGATGTCTTGAAACAGAAGTGGTGGCCTCGGACTGGCCGCTGTGACCTCAACAGCCACAGTAATGCCCAACCCGATGGTCGGTCGCTCAAGCTGCATAGCTTCGCCGGCGTTTTCTGCATCCTAGCAGCAGGGCTCCTGTTGGCCTGTCTGGTGGCCGCCCTGGAAATTTGGTGGAACAGCAATCGCTGCCGGCAAGAGCAGCCCAAAGAGGTGACCGAGCTCAGGGCGCGGAAGACAGAGCAGGGAGAGGACACTGCCACACTCTACTTTAAGGATCCCGCAGCAGACGCGAGCCCCGATTTAGTCGAGCTCCAGTATACACAGTTATAGGTGTGCCCTGATGAAATCAAAATTGGTCCCCCGCCTACTTAACATAATGACAGATTTTATGTGTGCTTGGGGTGTGCACAATGCCCTTGATGAAGCAGGCTTTACAATTTAGAATGCCACATTTACTAATACGCTGTGATTGTAGACCATTTTAGAACACAACAGCTCTGCTTCAGAACCTAGTGAGTTGCTGTGTACTGTCTACAACAGGCAACTACCTTCCAATGTAGAATTCTAACTAAAATGGAACCTCACTACATAGACAGCAGCATTTATAGTTCTGCTTGGTGAGCTCAATTCCAATATTGCAATTAGCATATTGGTAAGTTAAAATGTGATACTCCAAAAATACATAGTACAGTGCAAGTTATTTTATTGACAACATTCCGTATTAAATGTATATTCAGCACTATCTTGGATCTTTTTTCTTTCTTTTTTTCATTGAGCTCATTGCACTGCATTCAGAAATGTCTTCTCTCTAAAAAAACAAATGCAATAATGCTTTCAATTTTGACCAAAATAAGGTATCTAATCTTACTTCTGGATGAGCTTTTACATTGTGAATGCCTATGATGCCTTGAAGTGTGTCTAGGCTGACATTTAGAACAGAGTTACTGTATTCCACCAATTACATTTTTCTTTGAATCCAAAGTAAGAACAATATACACTTTTTCATTCCAAAGTTCTCTATGGAGGCTAAATCATATTACTCTTTTTTTATATTATCCAAAAGATTATCAGACATTTTCAGCTGAAACAATACCTCAAATACAAAATTGTTTCAGAGCAACTTGTACCTTGGCAGTGGCAAAATATTACAAATATTTTTCCAATATTCTATACCAGAAATGTCCTTAGATCTTTGGTAACCTTGCAATGGTCATCTCTTTAATTAATTTTTTCTTCCATTTAATTTTTTTAACAACAGTTTATACCCATAATTGTGCCTTCATGATGCAATAAAGTGTCTAACTTTGGTGTTCTCTTCAAATCAGCTACTTCTAAATATCTGAATAATTGCTTCACTTTATAACCTCTTTTATAAACCTTTCTAAATCCTCATCCACTGCCAATGAAACTGTATGTAATAGACTGGACCAGGGTTGATGTGGATCCGTAAACTAAAGTGTGCGCAAATTGGGTGCTTGCATGATTCTGTCTGCTCAGATATTCTTAAAAAAGAGCCACCCCAAAAACATAACTCGAACCCAAACAGTCAATAATCCCTAGTAATTTACTGTGTGACATCCTGTTGCAATTATATGTCAATGTGGACAAGTTTTATGGATTTAATTATTGGATTTATTTATCTCTATATTTTCTATTTTACATTTATTCTTCATTTGTTTATGATCTCATGCAGGTTAATAAGGATTACAGACTGGCAAGGGTTTCTGGTCCATTGACATATAATGATATTGCTACTGCTTCATCGGAGGGGAGCAAGGACATTTGGACAGACAGAGAAAAAGACTGGGATGAAGCAGAAGCTATTGACACAGGTCAGAATAGAATTGTAGGCCTCTTTTTTGATTGGCTGGGAAAACCAGATGTAGAAGCCATCTAACATTAAAGATTTCTTTTATTTTGTGATTTAGTTGCCTCATTTAGTAGATTCATCTTCCAAATTGTGTTGGGTTTAGAATGACGCCTCTGCTTTTCCTGCATTTTTTATTTTTAATTTTTTTAAAAACCACATTAATGATGATAAATTACTTTCCAGTTCAATCCAAATCAGTGTTAAGTACACTTCTGCTGTTTAATTGGTGGCTTTTATTTTTTGAAACATTAAGCTATTGCAACATGATTATGAACATATTGCAATAAGAGTTCCACTACTTGTGGCAGTGATGACTTAATTAGTGTGAATCTCTTTCATGAATCAGTGATGTACATTTATGTAATCGCCCTATAATTTAAATGACTAAACACTAAAGAAATCTCGTAATTGTGTTAAAAATGATTCATGATTCATTTGCATACCTTCAAACGAAGGCGAGGATACATCAAATTCAGTCAAGTGCTTGCTTGGTGGTGTACATGACCATGAAAGAAGCAACAAGATTCCACAAGGATAAATGTCATTGCAAATAGCATTGGTAGGGCAGCATATGCCCTGGATTTCAGATCTCAGACTTTTTTCCTCCTCCTGTATAACAGGAAGGATAATCACAATATCACAATCAGAATAGGACTCAAATTTACACTTTAGAATCATTAAGATTCTTAACAAGATCCGCTAGTAAGAAGGTTAGCTGGAAATTATTGCATGGCCTGAAGCAAATCTCGAATGCACTCTCCTTATAGATGATTGGAAAGCTTGATGCTCAGGTTTTGGATTAAAAATTAACCTGTTCGTTATCATGATGATTGACATGAAAGCTGAGTTTGGGTAGTTTCACCACCTGTTATCTGTTTGCCCTTTCACAATTTTGTATCACTCCGCTTGTTCTAGCCGGGTCTATTTTTTTTTTTTTTAAATCGTAGAGTACGTTAGTTAATATAAGAAGAAACGTCTAGCTTCGCGGTCTCTCTCTCTCTCATTTGGATGCACGTCTTGCTGCATTGTTTCTCTCTTATAACCTCATTATTTCTCAATAATAACCTAACTGTAGCAGCACATGCCCTTGATACGAATTCTAAAAGTGACGTATGTTTAACTGTCAAATTGAGCTTTGAGTTTCTTGTTTAATTACACACATGTTCCGTCGAACTGTTGTATAAACGCAATATCGCTCATACTCGAGCGATACCGGCTCTATATCGGCGTCTGTGATCACAGCCATGCTGATATAGAGCCGGTATCGCTCTCGTATTCGAGTGATATTGCTCATATATGTATATATATATATATTACGTCATTACACCTTAAATTTTAGCCCAACTCTCTTCATTAGTTAAGACAAATAGGATTACTGAACAGCGATGAGATTGTGGGAAATTTGTGGAAGCATGTATCCCCTTGGAAATATTTGTAGTCTGCTTCAACCTAACATGACAGACTAATTTACACAGTGCAATTGCTTTGCAATTCCAGGCATACCTCCTGACCTATCCCTCCCTAAAGCTTCATTACTCTCTAATGTGTCTTTGCATTTGATGCTGCAAAGCTTCATTAATCTACATATTTGAGGATGCTGTGAGATCTTAACAAATAATTTTGTGTAACAGATTGTGACCTTACTATAACAGTGGTGGACTCTGGAGCCAATCTGTATTTCTTCTGCATAATTCTAAAAAATAAATATTCAAAATGAATTGTAGATTAGATGAGACCTATGGACTAGTTAGGTCTCTCCACCTTGGCTTTGAATTAAATTTGCTAAGTTCAAATAGTATTCAAGCAATGGAGCAATACTCTCTCTCTCTCTCTCTCTCTCTCTCTCTCTCTCTCTCTCTCTCTCTCTACAATGTAATAGTTTTATTGTTTGATCCATATATACTCTGAACTTAATAATTCCTAGAGGAAACATTTACAGATGAAGTTTGCTGTTCTCTAGCCATTCTTCTTATTGAACACATGTTGATAATAAGCAACTGCTTTTAACATGCTGACACAAAGAGCATCAATATTTGTATGCTCTCTAAGCTAGTTTCTTAACATCCTTATTTTGCTGGTTAAAATTTACACCTTGTATTTTTGTAAAGAATAATTCATTATTTGCATATATATTATCTGAGCTCATAAGCTCACACCTACCTAAAACCCAACCAATTCTCAACAATATAAAGCACGTAACAGGCACATACATGTAATAATAATGAATTCATAAAAATAATAATTGCAAATTAATTAATTGATTAATTAATTAAATACATCTTTAAAAATATATTGCAAATACATGGATTTCAAGTCTTCTGAATTCATATAAATCTATACTATTACTACTACTACTACTACTACTAATAATAATAATAATAATAATAATAATGTCAGTGTAATGTAGATCAATTCTGGATCTGTGGGGAGGATCATTGAGGAAACAACATTAGCTTTTCACCTGGACTTAATTTTCTCATAGTTTTTATTTTCATAATGCAGTGGTTTAACATTTTTATGGTTTGCATTGTGGTACAAGAGAATAATTATTGTATTTAAAAAATAATAAATAAATATTAAAAAAACAATAAAAAAAACCTACATCGTAAGTAATTTGACCACAGAGTGCAGCATATACTTACATTACAATTTAAACTGCACTGTACAGTATATATATAATGAGCTTGAAACAAACTTTGAAAACACTTTAAATTACTTAATTCCAAGTACACAGTTTTAAAATGCATGCTGTGTTTTAACTTAAAATTAACTACAATCATAATTCTTGTACATTTTAATGTTGATGTCTTTTATGAAATACAGGTTGGTTCCAGCACTAAAGTTGTTAGTGATGTTAATTGTAATGGCAGGTTTAGTGTCACTCGAACATTATTATTTTACATGCCCAATGGCCAAATTTGATTTCAAGGTGCACATTCTATAAAACTTCTCTTTCAAACACAAATAAGCCTTACTTGCATGGAGCTTAAAAGCAAAAATCCCATCCTGGAACCAACAGATCTCAGCCTCTCTGTCCCTCCTTTCTTCTCTCACCCTCTCTAGGACAAGGAGGTGAACCTGGAACAGGTGCATCGGCGTATGAACAGTCTTATGGACGAGGACATGGCACACAAGCAGATCACCGCACCATCTATCGAGATCTCTGCCCTGGACATCGGCAGCATGCCGCCCAGCCAGCAGCGGGAGGCTGTGCGAGACTACCCGGGCACGGGTCTGTCTGTGAGCACCTTCCTCCCGGAGCAAGCTCATGGGGTGGGCCGGACACTGGTCCAAGGTCCTGGCAGCACCCTACCCCTTCCTCTCAGCAGCTCCACCATGCCCTCCATCCAATGCAAACACAGGGCTCCCAACGGGGGCCTGTTCCGACAGAGTCCCGCCAAGACGCCCATGCCAATGTCCTACCAGTCAGTACCAGGAGGACCCATCCCAGAAGCTATTGAGCACAGTACATCCATCTAAGGCCATCGTCACCATGGACTGCCTCACACTTGCTTTTCAAAGGAAGAAAGCAGAGGTGCAGTTGGAGCTTTGGAAACTGTGGCCGTGTAAAAAGACGGGGCGGTGGGGGGTGGGGGGTACGTAGAGATTTTTATTATGAAAAAAAAATGAAAACATTTTCTTGTACATATTTGTAAATACTGAAAGAGCAAAGTAAGTAAAAGTGTATTTTGAATATTCTCAATTTTTGAAGTTGAGTTACAAAAACAAATGAACAACAAAAAAGGACATTTAAAAATAATTCAAAACGACTGTTTGAATGGCTTTGTGAATTTTGTTCTCTATGGGTAAAGACTCCAATTCATTGTGATTGTTTTCTAAGTGCCGAAATAAAAGATGTCTCTCCACGTTTTGTTACTAGATGATCATACACGGCTGTAGGAACCCAAAAATTGAGCACTGATAATTATGCACCCTTATAAACCTTCTTCAACCTGCAAACAGTGAGGCCATTTTAATTGCTTCCTTTTCTGATTTTGGTTGTTGATTATATATATTACTTATATATTACTGATATAGATTTATGTGCTTGTATTGAGTTGATATTGATAATGGGTTTACTGAACAAGCAAATGCTAACCATTCAAAATAGTATAGCAGTGACTTGTGCAGAAATGCCATGTCAGACAAGCTAAAACTTTGCAATCATGGCAACAGCACTGAAAAAAGTTTTTTATTTTTTTGTTTTGTTTTGTTTTTTTTTTGTTTAGTTTTAACTGTGTTTTCAGACTATTTTGAGACTATCAATCCGTGAGCACAACCAGCCCAGAGAGAACAATTATATTCCAGAAACATAACAGCGACACTTTAATTTGTCGCACATCAAGGACATTTTACAGCAGTTCATGCTGTCATTTGTAAAACAGCTGTATTATCATTGCGTTTCTGATATTCTGCCAAAACTTTTTTCTTTTCTTCTACAACTGTACAACACCTCACACAGAGTATATAGACAACAAAAAAAACTTGTATATGAAATGATTTTCATAATTTACATGTTGTGATATCTTTTTCCTTTTGAGTTGCAAGGGAATGCTGTATGTGATTGGTGTAAATGAAGCTATGTTGGTATGCCCACAACTGGACAAACATCTCTTGCAGGCAATTCTAATAGTCCAAACACACATATTAATTATTTTTTACTGTACAATTAAACTTTTACATTTCTTTTTACATGCCGTTTTTTAATCGTTTTTCAGGAGGGTCGGACCAATTATGAATTCCAGCCGTGTTATGTTAGTGACCTAAACCAGAACAACCTTATACACTCACTCCATTTACAGCTACCTGTGTGTATTTTCCTGTTGCCATTCCACAGACCCTCTGAAATTTGCCGTTCATCAGCTCACAAAGAAAAGGACATTTGTCAGCGTGGAGCACATAAACCATTTTCCGAGAAGATTTCACCCTGTACATGCTTGTCAGTCATAACTCAAGGTTGTATCCTGTATATTTTGTACAAGTCCAAGTAGTTACTAATGTGAACCAAAGTGATATATTACACAGTGTAACACAACCTGTGGCTTTGAGATGCCGACAGTGGTGGTAAGGATGTGTAATTTGTAGGGTTAAGTGTCTTCACTGCCTTACACTTGTGCCCCTTTGATTTCAGATAAAAACATCCAATATTCCATGAAATATAACAGTATCATAGCATAGTCTGTAACATTACATCTAAGGGAGACTCTTATTTTATTTATGAATATGCTGCTTGGAGTTTCTTAATCTTTAATAAAGAAATATGGTTTACATTGTTTGATTGATGCTTCAGTAATTTCACAGTTGTAATTTGGTGAAATACTGATGTTTGGCGGGTACAAATGAAGATAAAGTACATTATCATCATTATAATCGACAAAATGTTGTACCTTGGTATATTTTCTTTCTTCATATTTTTGTACCATTTTGTGTTCCAGAGCATTGTTTCATATTTTTGGACCTGTTTCTGAGAACATCAGAAATTAAATTAGTTAATGGCTCATCAGATGTAGTAGGATGCATTCATAGTTTGATGAGAAAAAATTCCCTGAAATAGTTGTTGGATGTAGCCAGACGTACTTGTTGCAGTGACATAACAACATAACATACTTCTCAACAGCATATGTTATTCCCATATTCGTTGTGGTGATGTTATAGTAACTATAACCAAATTTAAAATAAATATAAAAATGTATTGCAGAATTGACCTGAAGCCAAGTCATGAGAGACTGTTATTATGCAAATTAACTAAAAGGTGCATTTTATCACTAAAAACCATAAACACACACACACAGTTTACAAACTTTTTTAATGAAGCAATAAGCAATAAGTTGTGATTTATAATGATTTTAAAACAGTTTAGGGGCTTTGTTAAGCACAGAGCGGAACACCAGCTTAACTTTTCTAAAATGACTATAAATCACTGTTTCACAGGGCTTATTGCTTTTATACAATGTAAGAATGATGTAAAGAGATCACAGGTATGTGTTTATAGAGTATTTTACAACAGCTTTGAATGTGGCTTACCAAATCATAATCAAGGACCAGCACTATCCTTTTTTATGAAGAGAAATTTGTCTTGTGCCCGATTCACAAAGAAAAAAAGACATTTGTCACTGAGGGAAGTATCTCTACAAAGATAATACATTTAAAAAAACATCAGTTTAAGTCAAATGTTTGATCAATTTTGTGCATTTCCCAAACAATTCACAATTCATAAGTTATGACACCTCTCAGAATATATTTTACTATTAACAGATCTGGAATGGAAGGTAAAGTTGCTGCTTTTGCTGTAAACTTTCTATTGCTAATACACACTGTAGTGAACATGCATGACCTGCAGCTGCACTAATAGATATACATCATAGTCCTTGTAAGCAGATGTAGACAGGTGGTGCAGGGGAGGAGAAAGACATCAATGAGAGAACTCTGATGCAGTGAGATGCTTGCTTATGTGTAGCAGACTATTTAAATGTGAGAGTAGATGGATCAAGCAATCATTGTCTGCAAATTACAAGCCGAGGTCTCATCAGTTTGTGCTATGTATGTGAAACTTTTATTATTGTTGTTTATTATTGTAAATAATCTGATAATCATAAATTATCATGAATTAGGTGTACATTTCAAACATCTTTATTGTTTATCTTGTTAATTGAGTGAAATCATGTAATCTAAATTTATATTATATTGCAATAATGTCATTCATTGATTAAAAATGAAGGCATGTATCACTGCTAAATACAGGTGGAAATGGGATCTAAATTGGATTACTGAAACCGAATATGGAAATGCATGTGACAACATTGCAACATTGTAAATGTTATCCTTCCTTTAAAGGGGTCATATGATGTGATTTAAAGTTTTCCTTTCTCTTTGGAGTGTTACAAGCTGATTGTGCATAGATAAGATCCCTGAAGTTGCAAAGACTAGTCTCAAAACCAAAGAGATATTCTTTATCAAAGTTAAGACTCTGCCACGCCCCCCTAAAATGGCTCGTTCTAACACGCCCCCACATATCTAGGTCACTATGTGGGAATATTTGCATAATGCGCCCAAATGTTCACGCAAAGGCGTGGTTTCAGATAAGGGGCGTTAGTGCTTGCGGTGTTCGGCCAATCACAATGCACTGGGTCAGCTGGCCAATCAGAGCAGACTGCGCTTGTCGGAAGGAGGGACTTTGTAGAAAACGAAGCGTTTGAGAGAGGCGGGGCATAGAGGACCTACAATAATGTACAGTATTTGAAAAATTATGTGTTTTTTGAACATTAAAGCATGTCAACATATTCTGTTGCACAAAATAATGATCTTTAAAAAAAAGCATCATATGACCCCTTTAATATGTTCCTGTCAGCAATAGAGAGGAGTAGTAATACACTCCAGTAGTGATTTTCTCTCAAAAAAGAAGCTACACTAATGAATCAAAATTGTAAGGACAATGCTTGGAACAAAAACCTAGTACATGCAATGAACGGAGACTCAGAGTGTGGTTGGATCTGTTGCTGCCTCCTAGTACCTCTCAGTTGGAGTTTCAGAAAAAGGAGTGTTTACTGAAAGGGTACTGCAATAAGGAGATTACATGTTGGAGCTTTTCCAGTCCAGTGCTGTGATCGACAGCTGACATTAGAGGTGACACACCTTTCCCAGTTTCTCCAAGTTAACTGCAGTGGTGGAGGTAACGAATTACAACTACGTTACTGTAATTAAGTAGTTTTTTTGGGTACTTGTACTTTTTTGAGTATATTTTTAAAGCTGTACTTTTACTTGTACTTAAATACAAATTAAGCAAAATAATCGTTACTTTTAAATCATAGTTCGTTACTGAGTACGCCCACAATTTGAATTCATATTCAAACCTTATTTGACGGCACTTCAGTTGCCAATAAAGATATCCAACCGTAAACGGACCAATAACAGCCCTGCTTTCTGAACCGGGAAAAGCCTCTGCTTTTCCAAGCTGCATCTCTCTCTCCTCTCCGACAGCGAGTTTGACACGCATCCGCCTCATGTAAATTACAGAGTCTGAATATCCGCGCGGGATTGCAGGTATTTCGCATAATTTTAATAATTCCCGCGCAAATGTGGCGAGCGCTTTATTGTAACATGAGAACACAGTCATGTAATCACAGAAAACTGGACGCGAGCTCTCAATTAGGCCTAACTTATCACTACATTGTACAGACATTACAGGTCAAAGCCATCTGATGTTCCATTTATCTAAATAAATAGGCCTAACATACTGTAAATCACTGCTTATAAAAATTCAGTGTTGTCATATTTCGGATACTTCAACAGAATTGAGGTCATTTGTTTTATAATTTTATTACTGAATGTGTAATTGTCTATTTTTTTGTAAATTCAATTCCGTTTTAAATCAAAATTTAAATCAAGCTTCCTTGAGCTGTAAGCTTTTGCAACAAAGTTACCCTATTTTAAAGACACAAATACACAGAATTAGCAAATGTGTAAGATTGAGATTTTTGTCATGTTAATTGAACAATATTTATATGTATGTAAATAAAAGCCTATATTATCACTACATTGTACAGACATTAC